CCCCACCCACAGTGTAAAGTGTGAAAAATTGAAACTGTTACGATTACTGAACTAAGTGGTAAATTTACTACAAAGGCACCACCATATCAATCTCTACATTAAAGGAAGTTGCTTATACATAAAACTTACTAGTTAATATAGACATAAGAGTAATTATTGAACAACATAAACCGTACTAATTAACATATACAGAATAATAATTATTGAACAACAATCTCCCTATGGACGGTAAGATTTAAGTATCAAATTATTGAAACAATAATATGTAAACTTGTGCTGCCACTCCTACGGTTGACCTTTCAATGCTCAGTCAAGCAATTCGATCCGCCTAAAGGTAGGCCCGAGTAGTCAGATCCGAAAATTGGTGTCCCTTCCATATCAAAACAGCAATTCAACTTATAAGTAACTGGACTACTCCTAATCTGCACATCTCAACACTCTAGCACCCAAAAAATATAAATAAAAGAAGAATAAACTACTTGTTCATGATGCACTGATCCCCACCCCCACATGGTGGGACCATTTCGGATAAATTATCTTTTATTCAAAGTGGGTCCCTAGCGTGAGGGATGGATTATGGATGCAGTAATGTATGTGCAGCGTCACCCATCGCAAAAAGTAAAATGAACACCAAACAGAGTTCTAAATATCTGCATTCACGAAATATTATAAATATAAAGAAAGGGTTTGAGAAGTGCATACTAGGGAGATCCCATGGCTCGACTTTGTAAATATCGATCTCAGAAATAGCATCGAATCGGAAAGATTTTCCGCAGACTTTTCGCCTCAAATAGTATCGCACCAATTCCTCGTCAGTGGGATGGAACCTGAAGCCCGGACCCAGAAAAGATACAGATGATGATTTCTTGTCCTTAGAATCCATTCAAATTAGGAAAAAATTAATCAGAGATTAATGAATTTTCAGGGAGAATTTTGAATTTCAAGAACTCAGATGCTATTGGGTTGTGTTGGGGGTGGGGCGTGGGGGGCGACGAGGTGAATGGTCTCCATGGAAGTAATGTGGAAATTAATTCCATCGCTTGTATTGTTGTTAGTTGTACAATTCAGACTGGTTCGGTGACGGGCTGCCCCCTTAGAAATTTTAATTTAAGTGAAAATTAATAAATAATTTTAATTATATATCTCATATGATCACAATTTTTTAATTATATATTTTATCAAACTTTTTTCAAAATTTATTAAAAATCTAATTTTTAATCCCCACTAAATAGGGGCATAATTCTCGTCGCATCTGTAAGATCAGGTTGTAAATTATGAGTAAATTCGGGCTATAATCCATTAGAAATTTATTTTGAAGATTATTTTTTCTTCCTTAACTCCGTCAAAAAGTTCATTTTGTGGCAGTAGATTAATTGTGTATAAATTATATATATTAAAAATAAATAAAAATGAGTGAGAATAAATGGTTATCACTTGTAAATCCCTCAAAATGTGTGAATAAAAAGTAATTTAAGTACTTATAAATTTTTTGCATAGCCCTTGTTTGATTTCCATTATATTCAAATTTCATTTTGTTCCTTTTTTTACATTTTTAATTAAATAATATTACATGCAAGCTCAAAATTTTTCTTTATTTTTTATCCATATATTCTCCATCAATTTACTATTTTAAAATTTGTAGAGCTATTTGGCCCCATTAAATTATAATTTATTTTTTTCTTTTCTTATCAACCACAAATTCTCCAATTAAATAATATTACATGTAAATTCAATTTTTTTTAACCACACATTTTTCATAAAATTACTATTCATCTCATTATAATATGAAATAATGGGGACCAAACATGGAGCTCAAACAAGGAGGTAATATATATAATGAAACATTTGAAAAAAAAAAATATGTGCACCGACCTATTGGGCTCAAAACTTGGATTCGGGCTGAGTACGGGGCAACATGCTGTGCACATGAGCGGTATTATCACCCATCTATGTGGTGGCGCAAACGCTTTCGTCAACAGGGAAGCATCTGGAGTCAGCATTGGCATGACTTGACCAATGCCTTTAGAAGGTTCCGTTTGCTTTGTTTGAAAGTAATTGCATGTTGCTCCCTTATGGTTTTTAAATATGCCGATGATCGAAATGTACAAATAAATAAATTTTCCACATCTTGTCAGAACTCTTTCCTCTGAAATTTTTTGATTCGACATGTTCAAACGGAAGTAAAAGAAGAGATGATTATTTAGGAGGAAGCTGCTAAATTTTGCATATATTTCTTCATCCTAACTATGCCTATTTATAGTATTTTATCAGGTCTTGATTAAATTGGTCTTTCTAGTTGGAGACATATGGCATTTATTGATTGGTTGACATATTTTATCTGTTCATGTTTTAATCATTAGCAAATGTGTCCCTCGTAGATTGCCTATGAGTCGCGCTTTTTTACTCCTGTTCACATGTGCTTTGATATCGATTTTTGCTATTGTGAAATAACTAATATGGATAAAATAATACGATTGTGGTTCGCCGATGCTGTTTCACATCTCTGCCCTGTGACTGGTCGTCGCGACGATAGCGCTCACACCAGACGAAGTTGCTAGAGCGACATCCGACGACAACGATGATCAGAGGGTTGAGAGTCAGCTGATTGAGAGAATGGAGAGGAGATGAGAGAAAATATGATTTTATGGTTTGAACAGAGTAGGTAGATAGGGTAGGTGTGTATATAAATTAATTTATAATATTACGATTAATATTAAAAATATTGATTTATAATAATTAAATTAATATCTGATTTGTGAAATAGTAAACTTAGAATATGATTTATGAAATGAAATCTTTAAAAACAGGCTTTTATGTAATTTCTACTTTTTTATTCTATGTATTAGTCCTATACAATTTTATTTTTTTTTTGTCCCCTCTAGGTTTGTCCCTATTATGAGAGGTGAGACACATTTAAGGAAAAAATATAAATCGTAATATTCCACGCCTACATTTTGGAACCCTCATCACGAATTTTGTGAGAAAGTCAGAGGAAAAAATTAATTAAGGTTTTAAAAATTAAAAAGCGACTATTCAAATTGCATTAAATGTTATTGTTTTTTGAACAATTTTACCGTTGCATTCATATATCATTTGTCTCTAATGTGACCATTTAATGTCAAAATAGATATTTTCTATTGAGTAAGAATATTGCACACACAGAGTCAAAAATTTGGAAATATGGATGTCGAACCTCCACATTACATCTTCATCACTTTCTTTTTAAAACAAGTGTTTTATCGGTCAGTTATATATTAGCCAATATCTCCATAGATGGTAGCCATGAGATGTTTTTTATGGCATAACCTGGAAAAAAATAAAAATAAATAAATAAATAAATAATAATAATAATAATAATAATAAATCTTATTCCCTAAATTTTGTCCTACAATTCACCAGCGCATACTTTGATTACTTAGTTTAGGTGATTGAACATATTAATTAATTAATTGATGCAGCTTATAAGTTGTTATAATTAACTTTATGATAGAAGAAATCCACGAGACATAATGGAAACATTTAAAATAAATAAATAAATTATTAAAACTCATAATTTTAATGCAAATTTTTGTTGTTATTTTCTTTAAAAAATGTATTCTTACTAATTGTAACTCTGGCTTGCAAAATAGCTACTAGATGAACTAATTCTCACTATTTAATAAATCTCGAAAAAAATTTGATTGATTGAAAATAATAGGAGGAGGAGGATGATATCATTTTAGTTATGAGTGAACAACAATAATTGAACCCGTGCATGGTGGTGGATTCACGGTCCACTGCCTTAATCCATCGGTGGTCCTTTCTTCTCGAAAATCCTTACATTCATTATCAGTGTATGTATAGCTATCTCTCGAGACTCAAATCGTAGACCTTTTCGTTAAACAAATTAAACTTATTATTATCAAAATGATCTGAACTGTTTCAAAGACCCAACATGCATTTCGACCCACCCTCTTTTATTTTTATTAATTTTGTATCTTTTTTTATTTATTTTATTTTCGTTGTAGCCAAACAGGGTTGTATCGACTTGGAAAATGGAAAGATTTGTAAAAGTTATACGTTTTGTCACCACTTTATGAAAAATAGTTGTGTATGAATATGTTAAATACCCGTGATTCGATTGGTGAAATAGTATATTAAATTAGTGGAGTGTGAAAAAAAATTTCTTCATTGCAAATGCACAAGACATGATTTTGGCAACAACCAGAGATGGATTTAGGGGGGGGGGGGGGGGGGGGGGGGGGGGGGGGGGCGCCCATTGTCTAATCAAAAGATCAATGAATTCCATATATCATTATTACTCAAACTATCAATTAAAATTTTGATTCTGTGACGTTTACTTCTAGAAATAAATTTTCTAATGTCGATTTTACTAATGTGATTAGATTAAATAATATAAATCCACTCACTCATTCATAATTATCATTGTTAAATAAGATCGACGTTGTTTGGGAGTGCTTAAAAGCACCTTAAAAAATTATCTCAATTCTTTAACACGCAATTGTATCCATATAGATTATTTATATGAAAGCAAATCGATATAGATTTTCATCGGTGTCAGGTTCATAGAAAATTTTGAAAAAATTAATAATATTTTAAGATTTGCAAGATTTTTGAGCTGTTCAAAACAAATTCTTATAATTCAAAGCGTGTTCAATAATTTTTCAAAATTAGCCGAAGTACGTGCACTCTATTTGATATAAATTAGAATTCATTTTAACCTAAAATTAGTCTACAATTTTGTTTGTACTAAATATCTACGGACTATGGTTATCGATAAACATATTACAGTTGTACTACGTAAAACAAATTCATTGTTCTTAAGATTACAAGAAACATGTTACAGTTGTACTACTTTTTATCTTAAACTGAAATTTTCTTTATTTACAAAATCTTAAGCACTTTAATTTCTTCACAATTCTTCCTCTCCCTATACCTATACCCTGAAACTTTTGCCACTTCCATTAGGATTCCGAGAGCTATCAAATTCCTATAAGGTTATAAAACCGGGAGAAATCGCACCACCTCCCATTCTCAATAAAAAAAAATAAAAAATAAATAAGGCTAATAATCCAAAATACGAAACCCTTCTTCTCCTATGCGAGAAATGGAGGACTTACGCTGTAGCAAACGGTGGCTAATTCTTTGCATGAGTTTAAGTAAGTTACTTATTACAGTGGTGAACGGAGCACATATTTTCCAAGAGTGGCATGTTGCGATTAACTCAACCATATTACAAGATCAACTGGTACACATAATTTTGTAGTTTTTGTTTTTATTTTATATTTCTTTTCGAATTTATTAATTAATAATGAGAAATGTGTTTGTTTTACGAGGTTATTATCATCAATAATATGTTTCGTAGACCTCTTATTCATGCAACGACCAACAATAATATTCATATCAATGTTCACAATGACATGGATGAGCCGTTGCTCATGACTTGTTAAAGTTATTGACATTTCAATCAAGGACGAAGTCAAGAGAGGATTTCGTTATTTATTTATTATTGTGGAAATTACACAAATTAATAGATTTAAAGATCCCATTTCATAAATCATAGGTGAAGTTTACTATTTCAAAAATCAAATATTTTATTAATTAATTTGTATATTTTAAATATTAATAATTATATTACAAAATTAAATATCCATATTCATCCTACCAAACATTAAATTCATCTTCATTCATCCCTTTCATTTTCTTTCTCTATATCTTACCTCCGTCTTCGTTCCTTTCATTTTCTGTCTCTAAATTCATAGGCTGTCAATTTGTCAAACTAGAATATAATACAATTTAATTATTAATTGTGGAATACTAAATAACTTGATTAATCAATTTTAACCTCTTAGGAGAGAAATGATTACCTTTGAAATCAATGCGACATTTCATTGTGATCGGCGAAGGTGTTGGTGACTTGAATGAGTCAAGAATGGAGACCGGACTCAGTTGTGGTCATTTTGGCTATGATGTTGAGCCGTTTATCGCGCCTATCCAGAAACAGTGGAGGATTCATCCTCTGTAACGATGGTAGTGATTTTCTCTACGATGGTAGTG